TTTTTCAGCCTCTGAAACCTCCATTTGAGAAGCTGGGCGGAGTACATTCGGAGTATAAGACGCACCCAGATTTTCACCCTCTTTTTTGGGGGGAAAAAGGTGTGTCTTATACTCCGAAAAATATGGTAGACCCAACCCTTTTAAGCCAGTGCATATCTTTCTATCCTGATCTGCTCAGGATGGAGTTTGGAATCCATCAATTTTTAATTTTAGATAGAATATCCAGTAAGCAAAAATATAGTCATCATTTGTATCCTTATTTATAAACTTCTGTCACTTATTAGATCCTAGGTGGTTTACACCAAATTAAAGCACACAAAATAACACATGACCCAATAAAGCTCCCACATCCAATTCAGAGTTGTGACATTTCATGAGTTCAATGCACCATCTTACTAGTCTATCTTTGTTTCATTAATTACTTGTCTTTGTCATAATCAGATTCAAAGAAAATAATTCCTATTGGTAGCCATATTTAATAAGTTTATTTTTTGGATGAAGCTAGAGTTAATATTTCTGAAGAAGTTTTGCAGTAAGGACAAGATACAACAAGATTAATTGTAAGGAGGTGTATAAGGTTTGGCTGCGTGCAGAGTTTTTCTTACCTCCAGTACATCTGGCGGGACTTTACACACAAGAAGCTTTTGACTTTTACATGGGCTCACAACTGACACTGGTCAACTCTAATTTCTAGCAAGTGGCTGCCATAGGATTACATCCAGTCACATTCACCACATTATCAGAAGAAAATTTATGGGAGTTTTCTCAGCCACCAACTCTATAATATTTTAAAAATTAAAGAAAAAAAATTAGAACGGGAACCTGATAGTTAGTGCCAGTATGGACACATTGCTGCCCAGATGTTCCACTGAGGCTCTCTGGACTAAACTCATAAAGAAAAGCAGTTATAAACTTTTGATCAAGAAAGGCTGAATGGCAGCTCTATCTCTGACGTGGTCTCAAAGAGTCCTTTATTAATGCAGAAATTCTGAAACAAATACTTATTTATATTGGCCTATTCTTGGATTGCAAACATTTGGTAGCATAGAGAACCAACTCCAAGCATGCTGCAACCACAAAAATGACACATAGCAGTAAGCTAGGAGAAGCTCACTGCTGGTGATGGTTTTTCGAATAGGAGAACAACAGAAGGATGCAAGCAGCAGGAAGGAAATAAATGATTCAAATGATTCACCATAACCTTGGAGGGATTCTTTTTCAAGTGGTCTGTTTCCATGCCTGCTCTTTTTTTAAGGAACTAACAATTTCAGTAAATGCAGCTGCTTGAAAGGAAAGTAATCAGTCTGAGAAAGACCTGAGAAAGACCTTTAAAGCGCTCCGTGGCATAGGACCTAGTTATCTTTGAGACCGCCTGCCGCTACCGACGACCTCCCACCGACCTGTGCGCTCCCACAGAGAGGGCCTCCTGGGGTGCCATCAGCCAAATAATGTAGGCTGGCGACCCCCAGGGGGAGGGCCTTCTGCGTGGGGGCACCTACCCTCTGGAATCAGCTGCCCCCCAAGATAAGGAGAATCCAAGACCTCGGTGCCTTCCGCCGTGCCCTTAAAACTTTCTTTTTTCAGCAAGCCGGGCTGGTTTAATATATTTTTTAACATATTTTTAATTTTTAATTGGTTTGTTATCTTAAATTGGGGCCAAATAAATATATATCCTTTTAATTGTTTTTAATGTTTGTATTGTATGTTTTTATCTGGCTGTATACCACCCTGAGTCCCTCGGGAGAAGGTGCGGTATATAAATTCGAGATAAAATAAATAAAATAAAAATAAAAGATCCCCAACATGGAAAGCAATGCTCACCATTGAAAATGGCTGAGATTTCTTCCCTTAGCCCTTGAGTTATGAATGTATCAGCTGGTACAGACTATTTCTGTAGAGTAAAATTCTCGGAGAGACCTTTGTGTCTTAAGCAACACAATCAACACCCTACTGAGGTCAACGGCAAGGGTAAAACAACAAAGTGTTCCACTACTGGAACTTTTTCACATGAACATTTTGGAGATCAATCATCAGGGATTGAAAACTATGACATGCATGAAGCTTGAGATGATTTCAGAAGGACCCAATTATTTTAACTTTTATAGAAAATTAAATGGCCAGCTTTTTGAGATGTCCAGATTGTGGCAATAGCCACCCAAAGTCACCTGACAATGAGATGGACAGCATATACATTTAACAAACGAACAAGAGGCCTTGAAAAACGATTCCTCTCTTTTTAACAAAGGTAGAGTCATGTAAAAGTCTGGTTATGATATGAATATTGCATTCCTATGTATATTTATGAAAAAGCATCTCTGCCAAATGAACACGCTCTTACTTTAGTATAATTGAGAAATGTAGCTTTATTTCAGATATAATATGAAGGAGAAACCTAGACCTAAAAGAGAATTTTTGCCAATACACAATGAATATGTGGCTGGGGAGAGGGGTCACATCAGTAGTGACTTCCACTAACCTTCACTACCAGTTCAGAACTGGGAGCGTGCGTGTGTGCGTTCTTGCTTCGCTCATGCATGATGCTTCTGCGCATGCACAGAACATTCTGCACATGCAGAGAGCGTCTGTGATGACGTCCGGGTGGGTGGGTAGAGCCTCCCGCCGCTGCCACTACCGGTCGCCCGAACTGGGGCAAACCAGTAGAAACCCACCACTGGGTCACATGAACATACACACTAAAGTTATAGCTTTTCCTGATTATTCAAATTCAGAGATATTTGTCTGGTAGCTTTCAACAATATATCCACTGGCTACGTAGAGTGCCAGATGAAGTATGCTGAAAGCATTTGGCTATGTAGAATTTTACAAAGTCATGACTTGGAATTCAGTTTTAAATTCCAGTACTTGAAATTAAATAATACCTCTTTGTCCTCTTTCTCTAGTGGAATAATTAAGACATGGGCTAGGGAATAATTTAGTAGATGTTTTTATGGGTTAGATCTTTTTAATATTTTTTTCCAATACTAACTGTGCAAGGCATAATGTTATATGGGCATTAGGTATCTTTTAGAAAAACTCTTTTGACTTCAAGATCACAATAAATCCTAAGCAGTCTTCCTTTCTCTCTTCCTTTAGTAGATTATTAGAGCTTTGTCAAAACAAGTCTGGAATAAATAGGGTTCAAAATTAATTTATTAATTGAAGCAGTTTTATTGGAAGCTCTTTGTTTTCTAATAGAAAGAACTAGTCATATGTTGAAATTTCTGTAGGATCTTTTGTCAGTATTACAAATTGTCAAGTATAGTTTGTAATTCTTGTGACCTAGGCCCAAGTACTGTATTTTTTGGAGTATAAAACACATCTTTTTCCCCTAAAAGGGGATGAAAATTTAGGTGCATCTTATACACCAAATGTAGCCACGCTCACCCACTGGCCCCCACCCTTTGGCCTCTGCCTCGCAGCAGTTACCTCCGTGCAAGCAAACAGCAAGAAAAAACAGCTCCTTTCAGTTTTAGCACAGCCTAATTAGCACAAGTTGATTGGATCAGCCTCCCGATTCTCGGCTGATTTGCTCTCAGCTGTTTTGCGCAGGCTCTGCTGCTTGCTGCAAAGAGGTAAATTGCTGGAGCAGATTTTTTTTCCTTGTGCTAATCAAGCTATGCTGCAAACGAAAATGAAAGTATGAAATGAAAGTAATGAAAGTAAAGCAGGCTGTTTGCTGTTTGCTGCAACGAGGCAAAATTGCTCAATTTTGCAGAGGCAGAGGGAGATTTCTTTTTCTTCTTTTCCTCACCAAAAAAGGTAGGTGCGTCTTATACTCCGGTGCGTCTTATACTCCGAAAAATATGGTAGTTATTACCAGATGCAATTAGTCCTAAACAAACGTATTTTATTAGAACAGCTGAGAATTACTTCATTCTCAGCTTAGTCCAAATTAATTACAAAAATAAATCCTTCAGCAAAAATCCTTTGGCTTTATCATAAACCTTTGTCTTCTTTGACACCCTGCCAAAGGCTTTTCTTGGCAAAATCCCAAGGCAAAAGAAGGCAAAAGTTCAGAAGCAAGAGACACTGACTATAAACAATTGTAGCAATGTTGCTTTCCTACAAAAAGCCAAAGAGCCATTGCTGCTCTTTTAAACCTTATGGGAGGGGCCAATCATCTCCTGGCCTTACTCCCGAGTCATCCCTTTTTGCTTTAGCTGCTGTTGCCTTCTGGCACCTCTTTTCATGCGTGCACTAGGAACAGGCTCTTCCTGTTCCTCTGCCTGTCTGCTGTCTGCCTCTGGAGGCTCCGGAGTCCATGCATTGCTCCCAGATGGCCCTGGCCCCATCTCTGCCTCCAACGCCGAGCCCTCATCCGGGCCTTCCCCAGCCTTGTCACTGTCCAACTCCGCTGCTAGCTCCGCGGGCTGCTAGCAGACCACAACAATAATATCCTTTAATACAGAAATGGATAATATCATCATGTTAAAACAGTGAACATTTGAAAACCAAAAATTACAATATGTTTATTATTCAGTATTTTGGTATAATTGCTGTTTAGATTCTTTCCAATATCCTATTAGTGAGAGGTTTTTTTTTGCATTACTTGGTTTTTGTTTTTTACACATGAAGGGAAAGTTGATATATAAAAAAGGCACTTGCATTTTACTCAGTGAGATTTACTTACATGTATAATATTCCAGTATTAAGAACACAATTCTGATTGTGTTTGATGGAGGGATTATGTGCCACCAAGTCACTATTAACTTTCTATACAGCTAAATCTTGAATAACATATGTCTTTATTTAGAGTTAATTCTATGAGTTCAATGAGAATTAATTTTAGATATTTTTATTTTAGATTTTAGTAATAGATTACATAATTATGTCAGGAAATTGCCATTAGGAATGAAAACAAAACCATTGCTTACTTTAAAATGGAGTATTCTCTTGTTTGAGAGTAAAAATATCCATTTAGACCTTTCCCATTAATTATGAGATTGTATCATCTTGAAACCTGCCTATTTTATTTGAGAAATTCCCTTTTTTATTTTTAGGTCCATGTGAAGTTGACCTTAGCCTCATTGTGGACCCAGGAGAGATTCCTGATCATGAATTTAACTTTGAAGATCAGGTAATGGTGAATATATATATATATATATATTTGCATTTATAAATGCCTTAGTTACTGCATACGTGAGGGAATTGATAAGCAGGGGTAGAGTTTATTATGAGAGTTTCTGTTCTTTTCTGAATGCCATAATAAGACAGCTTTTCTGAAATCCAGTATAACAAATGTGTGTTCAAAGGACTTCTGTCACATTTTAAAATCCATCTTGTTATCCCATCTCTCTTCTTATTCTGAGCATGTTTTATGCTTTTCAGTGCTTTCTTTTTGTGTTTTTTATGCTCTTTTCTGTTGCAGGCTTCTGTACATTCTAGAAAGAAATTCATACATGTTTCAGTAGCCAGAAGAAGAAACAATTCAATGTTTATCTGATGGTGAATTTTCAAAATAAAAGTTCACACTTATGCAGTCAAAAAATAATCAGTAAAGCCTTGCATATGATCTCCTTAAAATGTGAAGGTGATTTCCTCCCCAAGTACAAACTGGGTCTATTCTCGCTTAGCCTTTTGAAGATCAAACATACGGCTAGAAGACAATCTGAAAGGGCAGCTAGGAGGATAGTTTGAAATGAATCGTATTTCACCAAGTTAACACACATGTATTTCTGTTCCATTCTCATGTTTGTCAAATGGGTTTTGAATGAATGCAAAACCCTGTAATTTTTCTTTATTTAGTTGAAAGAAAACATGGAACACACTGCACACTGTAGATTTCTCATTAGCATATAAAAATAAGAGCAAATCCCAGCCCCTCCTAGCACTGATGGTGTTGGGTAATGAAACGTCTGCAAGAAAACAAACCACTAAGCTCGGAGAGCACCAAGGACCCCACAGATTCCTCTTTAAAACTTCCTTCAGTGATGAGGAAGAATATCAGTTAATTCTAGCTGAATATAGCAAAAAAGCTGAAGAGGAACCATGACTCTCCAAAGTATTAATCAGTGAGCAGAAAGATGAAATAAAAATTTTGTAGCCTTGTCTGGGAAGAAAGATAGTATGCTGAAAGCAGTGGTAGCATATTCAAGGAACAAGAAAGAGTTTATGTCAAGCTGAAAGATGCAACTAAAGCTTAGACCCGGGATGGCAAACCTATGGCACATGTGGCAGAGGTGGCATGCAGCGCCCTGTCTGATGGCACGTGAGCCGTTGCCCCAATTCACTGCTGCCACGCATGCGAGTGCTCCTCCCACCAACCACCTGGTCTTTGAATCTCTGCTGTGCATGCGGACCCCCCACATGTGGAGGGTCCTCACTCATGTGTGGGGGGCAGGGCGCATGTGGGAAGGCCGCACATGCATGTGTGGGCAGGGAGGTGGGGGGCATTCCTGGGGGGGGTACGGGGTAGGGCACGGGCAGGGGGCATGCACGCATGCACGGGGCAGGGCATGTGCACATTGTATTTTGGGGGTTGGGGCACGCACGTGCACTTTGGGCACTCGGTCCAGAAAAGATTAGCCATTACTGGCTTTGACTATCATTTTGTCCCAAACATTGTACCAATAAGAGAATGAGAATGTAAGGTTATTATAGCTGTGTCCTAGCTCAGTGTTTCCCAGTCTTGGGAAATTTAAGATATATGGATTTCAATTCCCAGAATTGAATTCTGGCAGTCAAAGTCCACATATCTTCATGCCCTAGCTTCATGAAAGAAAGAACTAGATTAATAGGACACAATTTTGTCGTCATTGGACATTGTTTTTTGGTTACATATCTTGGACCTTCCATTTATTTAGGAAATGTACTGGTAGTTCTCAACAGTTCGTTTAGTGACCGTTGAAAGTTATAACAGCACTGAAAAAAAGTGACTCATGACCTTTTTTCACACTTATGACCCCTGAAGCATCCCCAAGGTCACGTGATTTAAAATCAGATACTTGGCAACTGGGTTCATCTTTATGACTGTTGCAGTGTCCTGGGGCCATGTGTTCATTTTTTGCAACCTTCTGACCAGAAAAGTCAACGAAGCCAGATTCCCTTAATAACCATGTTACTAATTTAAAACAACGGTAGTGATTCATTTAGCAACTGTGGCAGGAAAAGTAGTAAAATGGGGCAAAACTCACTTAACAAATGTCTCACTTAGCAACATAAATTTTGGGCTCAATTGTGGTCGTAAGTCAAGATTTCCTATATATCAGTGGCAAGATTAGAAATATATCTCGGGCACATCTTTTGAAAAAGGGGTACTATCTGGTAACGGGTAAGCAGCCTAGTTCAACAACCTCTGTTGTATTAGATAAGAAGGGTCCTTTGACAGGAGAGGTTTGGTCATTTCTTGCATCTTCACAATTGGGAGAAAACTAAGAGTATATAAGAAGAGGCAGAAAAAGAATGGAGCTTTTATCCTCTTTTTGTTCTGGCTTCATTCGCTCACTTGTTGCTACTCCATTTACCTTGGTTTTTTTTTTTTTGTAAAGTTTTTTTTTTATTTTTTAAACACACAAACAAACATACAATATATCTTTTCTGAACAGAACATTGGCCCGGTCTTAAATTTGTACAGATTTTTGTTCATCTTTAACACAGTGTTATATTTTCAATTTTTATCACAGCATTTATTCTCTCTAATTTTAAGAAACCAATATTACCCTTCATCTTAACTTCTCATCCTGATATAATTCAATTTTTCTTTTCCCTCCTTAAGATTTGAACCCCTAAATTTAAATTCACATACTGTAGAACAATCCCCAATTATTTCCTTAAATTCTCTTATTCTAATCACAAATGATTCTTTTATCAACTATTCCAAATAATACAATTCAACCTATTAGTAGAAACCAATTAAATATATATCTTAACCCAAATGTTTCAACTATAGCCTCCTTCAGTTGTTTAACCCATAGTGAATGCAGCCCTTGGCTAAAAAGGGGTTGCTAATTTAAGGAATTCAGAGCATGTGGAATGTCTGAAAGGGTTCAGGGTGCATATTCCTTCCTCTTTAATATGTTTTAGGTTTATTGTATGCAGTTGCATCATAATACAGCAGACTAAAGTGCTGTTAAATAGCACCAGCTGCCTGCAATTACTGCAAGTTCAAATCTCACCAGGCTCAAGGTTGACTTAGCCTTCCATCCTTTCGAGGTAGGTAAAATGAGGACCCGGATTGTGGGGGCAATAAGTTGACTTTGTATAAAAAAGAACACCGCTTAGGGGCCCCCGAAAGCTCTACTAAGCAGGTATATACAAAAATATAAAGGCTATTGCTTAACACATTGTAAGCCGCCCTGAGTCTCCGGAGAAGAGCGGCATATAAATCGAACCAATAAATAAATAAATAAATAAATAAATAAATAAATAAATAAATAAATAAATAAATAAATAAAACTAAGTAAAAATGACCATTTTTAGAGTCAAGGACTACAAACATTAACACTGCAAAAGGGAAAAAAAAACATATTCCTTACCTCTTGCATGAAAGAGATTCACTGCAAATATATGATGTTACCTCTTGGCAATGCTTTTTAGACATAGTGAAGATTAACTTTCCCCCAAAGAATGTAATCTCCCCATCCAAAGCATACATTTTGTGATCTATTGAAACAGCTTTAAAATAAAATCATGCTATTGTAATAGTCAGCCTTAGAATGCAACTCGGAATTATAAATTACACCGCATTAACCAGGAGCTGTTTTGTTTTGTTTTACAAATGGCTACGCAGAAGCTGAGCAGTTGATGGCCTAAATGAGAATGCGGGACTCTGAAATTTTAAACTTCTTTTCTGTTAATCTAACTAAATCTTTCTTCTTTCTCAATTCATCCTCCATTCAGGGGATAAAAGCATGGATTCTTATTTTTGCATAGATTGAAAGAAATCTTCAAGAGGAAGAGTTTATTTTCATTATTTAAAAAAAAAAACAGGGTTAAGAATATTTCCTTTTTTGCCCTAGTGAGTTCTTCCACAGCTTCAGAATAAGGATAGGTTGGGCATTTTGTCATAAGTAGCCTGTAGATATTATAGAAATTGTTTGTTTTTTGGATTTAAAAAAAAATAGACAAATCCCTCTTCATTCAGCAAAGACCTTATAATAGTATTCGCCTGAGCTTAAATTTCACATTTTGAGAAGGACATCATGAGAGAGAGAGAGCTTATCTATTGATCTTTTATAGCAGGGGCGGGTTTTAAAACCGTCGCTACCGGTTCGCTCATGGGTGTGTGCGCACGTGGTAGCATCCAGGCGGATGGGCGGAGCCTCCCGCCGCTACCGGTTCGCCCGATCTGGGGCGAACTGGTAGCAACCCACCACTGTTTTATAGAAACAACATTGTTATATTGCTGTCAGCATGGCAACATGGTGGTGGACATACAGTAGTTTTCAGTGATTTTGATGGTGGTGTTTTTTTTCTTAGCATAGTAAATTGTTGAGTTTTGATCCATTTTGTCAGTTACAAATCAGTTACTGCATTAGATGAACCAGAAAATACTCAGTTAGTTATATTGCACTGTCGTCTTTTTACACAGCTGCAACTTATAAAGCGGAAAAGAATTGGATCTCACTGTCTTTTTAACATGGACGTCCCAAAGGTGCTTTTTCAAGAGGCAAATGGACTTCCTTGGTTTTCTTTAAAGACGTTTCACTTCTATTCCAAGAAGCTTTTTCAGCTCTGACTGGATAGTGGGGAATTGAAGGATTTATATTCCTTGCAAACATCTAGTCATTTGCATTCTTTTAGAGAGTCATTGAGGCCACTTGGAGGTTTATCTGTGTCATCAGGGTCACCTGAGTAGTGCAAATGGATGTGAAGCAGAGCTGGTATTCAGCCGGTTCTGACTGGTTCTGTAGAACTGGTAGCGGAAATTTTGAATAGTTCGGAGAACCGGCAAATACCACCTCTGACTGGCCCCACCCCCATCTATTCGCTGCCTCCCAAGTCCCAGCTGATCAAGTCTCAGCTGATCGGCTGGGTCTTCTTTTGTTGGCCTGTACACGGAGTTGGAAAGCAGGTTAGTGGGGTGGGGAGGGAATGGAGATTTTATAGTATCCTTCCCCTGCCACGCCCACCAAGCCA